AGTATGGAGAAAATTGAACGCCGCGCCGTTATTAAGTTCCTCACCAAGCAAGGAAAATCCGCTCAGATAATTTTTGAAGAGCTGTTATCAGTTTACGCGGACTCTGCCCCTGGTAAAACCATGGTTTACAAGTGGAATGGACTTTTTAAACAAGGAAGAGAGTCCATTGAAGATGACGCCCGCTCCGGACGACCGATTGAGGCCACCACACCGAAAATCGTCGCAAAAGTAGAAAAACTTATATTGGAAGATGACTGGTTGAAGAAGAAACGGCTTGGAGCAATGGTTAGAGTATCTGAAAAAAGCATTTTTAATATCCTACATCATCATCTTGGGATGACTAAGGTCAGTGCAAGATGGATTCCAAGAATGCTCACGCCACTTCAAAAGAGCGATCGTGTCGAGTGTTCTCGCCAGTTTTTGAAGCTCTGTGGAGAGAATAAGGACGAAGTTATGGACCGGATTTTTACTCGTGACGAAACCTAGGTTCACCACTATGAACCTGAATCGAAGCAAGAATCGATACAGTGGTATAAAAAAGGCACAGCTCCTCCAAAGAAGTTTAAAGTGTCACAATCGGCCGGAAAGATCATGGCGACTGGCTTTTGGAATACAGAAGGTATTTTGCTGATCAATTATAAAGATCGTGGTGTGACTATAACGGGACAGTACTACGCTTCTTTCTTAGATAGATTGAAAGAAGCTATCAAGGAAAAAAGAAGAGGAAAGCTGTCAAAAGGTGTGCTCCTTTTGCACGACAACGCAACAGTCCACACGTGCCATGTTGCGACGGCTGCCATTCACCGATGCGGACTCGAAAAACTACACCACCCACCTTACAGTCTAGACTTAGTCCCCAGCGACTATTATTTGTTTTCAAAAATGAAAAAAAAGCTGCGGTGAAAAATATTTGAGAAGTCAAGTCCGCAATTTCGGCTTATTTTGATAGCCAAGATAAATAATTTTTTTCGAATGTATTAATAAATTATTTGTGAAATCCGAAAAATGCATTAAGGTTAAGGGAGACTATATTGAAAAGGAAAAATAGTTTCGTGTTAAATTTCAACCCCCTTCCCGCTCATTCCGCGAACTTATTGACCTCCCCTCGTATAAAGCTACGTACGTGCTTCTCTAAAATTGATATTGAAGAAACTATGTGAAGATTTCAGTTGTATTAAAAACGTGTGAACATTCAGTACTTGAAGTGACAATCTACAAGTATGTTGCAATTAATTTCATATGACATACGTTTATTATTACTATACATATTATAACAATGTATGTTTAATTACAATAGTAAAACGTATGTGACGCCGATGGGTTTCTGATGCGAAAATTACTTATAGAAATAATAAAGTATTTAAATATTATATACTGATTATACAAAAATTGTACATTTATACAGGGTGACTGGTGAATTACTATCAATATTTAAGGAGCATACTCGGTACATGATTCTCATTCGAATTATGTAAAAAAAATAGGTACTTAATTTTTGACCAAATTTCCGTATAAATAAATAAAGTGTTGACACGTTCCAAGTGTTCCAAGTGTGGAAGCGTGCGGCGGCGTGCTGATACAAAACCACGCCCCCGCCGCGTGTGTGTGAGTGTATGTGTATACCTAATCTGTAGGGTGTTCATACGATGCGTAATTAATTACACAACTTTTGGTTAACTTTACTTAGAAGTTTATTAATATTTATGTTATATTAATTTTTATTTTGTCATATATGATCGTCAAATATCACGTCCTCAAGTATCGATAGTAATTCACCAGTCACCCTGTATATACGAGTATATACTCGTAGTTTACATACACAACACAACATTGTGTATATGTTTTGTTTTCTTTGAATTTTTGAAGTGTTTTTCTAACTGTACGTTTATTTGTCACGCATTGATTTTGACTTTAGTTTTAGTCTAAAAAGGAGTAAGTTTTCAATTCGATTAAATTCGATTAAACTATTACTCTTTCAATTGAAGGCCAATATATAAAAATTCTTTTATTTAATCGAAAGAGGTATCCCTGAGTCGCTTAGTGTAATCGTCACTAATTTAGGCCCCGATTGAGTCATCTCGAGAAAATCTCACGTAGCCTCAAGAATAATAACGCGTACAACAAAATTGTAGTCAATATACGGGCAAAGCAGAAGGCTAGAGTTAAAATGTTAATATAGATGAAATAATATTAAGTCATTCGAGATGAGACACGTTTAACAATTTATAATTCGACACACATTTAACTATCAGAATTAATAATACGTACAACATAACGTAGTTATTATTGCATCATTCCTTACATAAATGTAACATAATATTGCTTAGTTTGAAATCGTTCGTAAAATACGTAATAACAAAAATACTACAAGATGATCAAATTTTTTTATCATAATATATTTTAATGCATAAAAATACATTTTTCGAATTATACTTAATACAAAATTCAACTGACGTTTACGGACCAACAAGAATAGGTTCTCCAAATAGTTGGATAATACCAATTTTAGAATGCTTTCGTTGGATGGTTTGAAGATAGAATATTGATTTGGATTCAAAATAGGCGCGCCTGCAGTCCCAAGTGACCTTGACCTTTAAAACTTTCGATGAGCGATATAAATCCGTGTGATAACAATGTTCCACACTATACCTTAAACAACTTTCATTAGAACAGAAAGTTGATTTAAACAATTCATTGGTATTTGTCAGACAAAGACAAATAAGTGAACTTATTTGTTCACATAGAGTACTTAATTTTTTGCTGATTCCATACATTAAAATAATATTAAAATATATTTTTAATTATAATGATTTACAAAGGGACTATCTTGACTACCGAAAGTCGATATGTAAAAAAACTTATATTTTTTTAAACCACACTATTATGAAAAACTTTGTTATCTCATATTATATTTGATTAAAACTAATGCTAATCTTATTCTCCATATGTACTTATAAAATTTAGATTAATAAACATCGAAGTAGTGTTTACAAGTTAACACCAACTACCAAATTGACATCAAATTAGTAGTACTATTAACATTCTATTTATTCAGACAATAGAACACTTTCAGGTACAAACATGGATTTATGAAAGATTTATGGGTTTATTTTTTCAAAGGAGTTTGCAATGGAAATAAAAAAATAAACATAATATTACCCAACAAATATACACATATATAAAAGATTACACATATCATACATCATGCTTATTAGATTTGTTTTATAATAATTAATTTCTTTTTAAAGATAACAAACAAAAGACATCCATTCATCGCATGCACTATTCAGACTTGACTAAGAGTAAAATTTATCAATTATTATCATTTCATGCAGCGGATTATAATTAAAAATATTAAATATTTAAAACAAAATTAATTAAATATGTTTAATAGCAACCCTCAAATGAAAGTGTTAACCATTGGCTTACTCGTCTCAATATTGTAATGTGTTTAAAAGAAATTAATTGTTAATTAAGGCATATATTGTGAAGTTATTTACTTATTTAGTTAAAAGTAAAATATTATTTTAGATTTTTCTTATTCTTTAAACAGCAATTAATTACTGTAGCATGTTTATCCACATTATGTTATTATAACTATATTTATTAGCCTTCATTTATTTCAAAGAAATTTTTGTTTCTCTTCTTTTCACTATATTTATTACTTTTTGTAATTAATTAATTCAACAATGAATACATTTCTTTTTTTCTTTACTAAATGAAATACCTACTGTTGTCAGTAAATTAGAAAGTAAAAAAAATTGCTGACCCAAATTGTAAATATTTTTTTATCTAGTATTGTTTAAAAATGGGTTTATTTTTGAATTATAATGGAGTTTTTTATCTTATGGTATTTTATTGTTATAAATAATTATAAGTATGACACAAATTCTTAACAGATAAAAATGTTCAACATGTAATCAGAATATTTTGAAGAATTATAGATTAGATAATATAATATAAGAATTATTTTGCTTCAAACAAAAGGTATTCCATTTTAAGTTGATATGTGTATATTATTGAAACCAGTACAATTTTAAATGATATAATAAAATTATTTGGATATGGAAATGTTTATAAACCTTTATTATTAGAAGGAAATATTTTATAAGTATCAGAATTGAACTTTGGAAAATGAAATTGTTATTGTTTGTTGTTATGTTTTACCTCATTTAAAGTTATATTATGTTTTATTAATATGTATATGTAGTTAAACTTCTCCATTTAATAGCAAATACATAGTTTATAATTAAAATCTTAAAAGGAAAACGTCAACAATAATAATGCCGAAACAGTATCACATACAAAAAAGTTACAGAAGTTCAAAAGTTTATCTTTTTAGTAAAAAAAAAATATTGTAATTATGATAACTACGAACAATACTAAACGTAGCTAAGAAATGTTTATGTTTTGATCATTGAAGGTTTGTGTACATAACCAAAAATGTTTATAAATTAATTTTACATTGACAACTACAAACTTACCTTCTTTGACATTCTTCGAAGACTGCGAGGATGACACTCCGGGTATTGTTTTATCACTCGCACAGTACATTTTAAAAGCGTCCACAAAAATTATTTTAATTATATCTACTTTATTTAGCACAAAGTAACATATTATTATCTTACAATCAGTATGATAAGAGAATACATTCTCACATAATGCGAAACGCGTCGGCCATTCCACATTCCGATTGTAAATACGGTGTCATAGACAACATATAAAATAGGCTATCTATATACTTCCTAACCGTATCAGTATATTTTACAAGTTTTAACTGAAAAAAAAAACATTATCAAAATAATACAATTTGATTTGTGTTTTCTATAATTATTTTTAACTTAATTTTTAATATTCATTTTATAGTTTTTTTTCCTTTCTTTAGTGTTTTGACATTTAAGTCCGAAGTGAAAATGTCAACATTTTCAGTAAATCAGGAATAAAGTTGTCTCCGTGTCCTGTGCCCGTAATTATAATTATATTAAATAAATGATGCCAATATGATGCAGCATCAGTATTGGGTTACGAAAAAGACTGTCCAAAAAAAATTTGGTTCAAAAGAAGATGAATGTATTGTTTCTTCTGATGCCGAGCTCGACGCGAAGTTGGAATTGTTTCAATCAATATCTGAAAGTTGTTTGCAGTTACAGCGATATTTGGACCAGTATCAAGAACGATTGTGTATTTTAGCCCAAGAGGAAAATTCTTTGGGAAAATTTCTACGAGACGCTGGTAAAAACACAGATGCATCGGGTAAACATATGGTATCTGCTGGTAAAGCGATATCTTATTCGGGGCAGCAACGCGTATCAGTGAGACCGCCATTATTAAGGCTTTATCACGAAGTGGAAACGTTTAGATGTCGTGCTGTTAAAGATATGCGTGCAACTGTGTCAGCGATGGAAAAAGCGCGTATTGAATATCGTGCTGCTCTTAGCTGGATGAAGTCTGCAAGTACCCAATTAGATCCGGATACCGGCCGCGGTCTTGACAATTTTCGGAAAGCCCAGGGCCAGGTCCGCGAAAGTAAGAAAATGTTTGATAAGCTGACTCTTGATGTTTTACAAAAGGTACGTTTTTTCGAGACCACGCTAAACACGTCTGGAGAGTGTCATTTTTTTATGGTTTTGTTATACTAAGAAATATCTTGTGAAAAAACTTTTAATGTTGATATTTTTTTTACAGATTGATTTATTAGCAGCAGCTAGATGTAACATGTTTTCACATGTATTGTCCAACTACCAAAGTTCATTCATGACTTTCTCCACCAAAGTTGCCCAAACACTCCAAGCCACTATCGACACTATGAGTGAAGCCCCACAATATGAGTTCTGTATTTTAAAAAGTCTAGGACAAGCGGATTCCAACCAGGAAGAAAATGGTGTTCCTGATAAAGATCAAATGTTATTCTTCCAGGTGGATTGCTTAAATAATATATTTATGTGCAATAATATCCTAATAATAATATTATATACATAGCATTTTTCAACATAGATAATTTATTTTTACATTTTTGCAGGATGAGTACAAAGATGATGCTCAAGAAAATTCTAAGCCTGAATCTAACAATACTGATGCTAACCAACCATCCAACAATACAAAAGAAGAACCATCAACATCAGGCAATTTAATTAATACTGAAATTGAAAATAATGATATAAATGAAGATCTGGCCGGATTAAATCTTAACTGTGGAGATCTACCAGCTAACTTTGGATCATTTATGCCCTCCCAACTATTACAGGTAATTAACAACTTATTTTTATATAAAGGAAACTTAGAGATTGATAGAGAATTTTGTAAGCAAAACCTAATAGATGTCACTTTTCTACCGATTGATAGTTAAATATGTAGCTTCTCAAGGCACCAAATCAAGTCATGTTATTTTAATTCCCTAAGCAAAGTGATATGCAATAATAGTCTAAGGTGTATTATATTGTATGTTGTAAATTTTGTCATTCTATATTTTCTATTTGAGTTTTTATTAATTTACTATAACTCATAAATATATGTTCTATAATAAGAAAATGTCAAAGGTTTGATTAATAACAGATATAATTTAAATTTAAATATTGTTACTAAGATGAATTTTTTATAATTACAGAGTTTAAATACGAATCTACTGGAGGGTTCATTGGCACCAATTCATGCGAACAATCAAATAAAACCATCCGAGCAATCACAAACACCAGCGAAACCCCTTTCAGCAAAGGAAAGTAAAATGGCCTGGTTTAAACTTTTTGCTGAACTTGATCCCTTGGCCAATCCAGACAATATACCAGGCTCAAATACAAACCAGAGTCATGCAGCTTAAACTATGGTATATGGTAAAAAAAACGCAATTTAAACCATTGTCTATGGTACAAATAAAAGAAAGTTCTAACTATGGTCTATACTCTATGGTATTAATGAAAGCCAGTCCACAACTGCTAGCTTGGATCACATATATAAATGCGTTGGAATAATTTGAACATTAAAAAAAATCTTTTGAATATTTTTCCATAAAAAAATATCTAACAATATGTGACAAGGATTTTGATATATATATATGGACAGTCATATAACTTTTTAAAATAATATGTAAATCTATGAATTAAACAGATAAAGTAGTGCTTAGATTTTTATATGTGATTGAAGAGATTGCTCAGCAAACTTGTTTTATTTGCTGTAAGTACAAAAATTAATTGCATTTTTTATTACGATTATTATTTTATTATCTATTGGTTACTTCTTTTTCATTGTTTTATTGAGTTTTACATATATATAAAATTTAATCATGAACAAATATTGTTTACTTTTATATTGAAACAGGGTTGATAATAATGTAACAACTAGTATCGAGATATAATGTTAATATGAAATTAATATTTACAGTGCATTAACTAGAGTTTGTATAATAGCGATATTGTGTGTTAGAACTTTAATATATACTTTTAGATATATATAGTACAAGCTATGATAAATAACCACCTTCATTATATTTTGTCTCTGACATAATAAGAGTATTGGCTAAATTGGTATGTCCTTGCTAATTGTTTGTACAGTTTATATTCAATACAAAAGTTTTGAGCTTTCAACTCATTTCAATGTATGATTTAATCAAACCTAGTCACTATGATCTGTTATGTATCTACACCAAAGATTTTTATATGTAAGCCTTTAGATTGTAATAATGTTTTATTTACATTCCATATGTTATTGTAACCTTATATTTTAAAATTATATCCTTAATAAAATTGATGTTAAAATGATATTATTTTATTTAACGTATTGTGTATTATATTAACTGAAGTGCAAGTAGATTGTGCACCACATTTCAATATACTTTTATGTGACAAGTGTATTTTTTTTGGTACAAAGTAAAATCAAGTTAATAACCATGGTTACTGTTGCAAAAATATAATTTAATGCACATCTTGCAAGCTAAATATTTTAAGGATTAAAACAATAAAAAAAAACAAACTTGTAAGAAAATATTTAAATTGCTAGTTTAACCCATGAACAAGCAAGATACTCTTTTACTCTGTTGGAGGAGTGGTATATAGCCAACAGATGTTGTAAATGTAATAAAAATTAAAATGAATATGAGAAAAATCAGGCGCAAGGTAGAACAGAGAAAGGGATATAAAAAGGGGTAAAACCAAATACATCTTTTTTGATAAATAGTCATCCAGCATGATTCAAAGACAGTATTAAATAAATTCATACAGCTGTTTTGACATCTCATATAGTATTTAGATACATGGGTCACTTTATATTATATCCAAGACTTTTTGTGTAGGCGGTGCATTTAAAGTATGAAATTCTGTTATTGCTTTACAACAATTTAATAATGGTGAGTTTCACAAAAGTGAACGGTGAATTTTTGTGTCGGGGCCCCTAATAATTGATTATTTTGTTATACAGCTAATTCCACATTGTAGGTGTATTGTGATAAACCACTGAGTCTAAAAAGTACCTAATAATCAATTTCACTTTTAAAAATGTTTCTTTCTGGAGGATATTTATACATATTTGAAAACCTTGGTATAAGAACTTATTAAATCGATCAGTTAAGATTCCTGCAAATATGGTGAGTCTAGAAATTCTTGTACTCTCGGGCAAAATTTGTCTGCTAGGTCAATACTGCATTGTTTTTCATACCAATGTTTAAATAAAATATGTAATTTTATTTATTACTTAGTAGTTAATAAATAATTTCACTTTTATATAGTTATAAAAGTGAAATTATTTATTTTGAGAACATTACTAAGATTAAAAATTATTTGAATAGTCAATAAATTTACATTATACAATTTATATTCAAGGTTTTAAATTACTGATATATTATTTTAAAACATATTGTTCATTTTTACCAATATTCAATTGTCATTTTAGCTAGTATCGACTCCTGTCACCCGTCACTTAAAATAAAAAATCTTATGTCAAATCATTAGTTTGTCATAGGGTGTTTAAAGGCTTGATTGGATTTTAAAGCTATTGAATAACTTAATCGAATCAATATTACTTTGAAATGAAATTTATTTGAATATTATAACCTTGTCATTTAACAGCTTCACATACGCCACCCAGAATGTTGAATTCAAGTAAGTATAACAATATTATGCGTAACATTTATAGAAATATGTTTTATATTTAAATATTTTTTTAGTATTTCGGGGTTTGCTTAACTTTGAAGAACCTCTAAATAAGGTAATAGAGGTTCGTTCGGACAATTATATTTCAAGACAAATTCATTGTAGAGAAGATTCTATGTTGCTTTATTTACCTAAAACACCCAATGATGGAAGAAATTCTAAAGATAAATATTATGAAATCGTACTGCATAAACCTTTTACCGAAAGCTTACATCAGATGTACAGGTATGTAATTCATTAATTAAGATGTGATTCATCACTGGCCTGGCTCATAACATATATTCATATAACTATTTGTCTTTGTCAACAGCTTATTTAGATCTGAAAGTCGCGAGGAATGTGAAGAAAGATTTATTGTATTTAAAGAAAGAATTCCACTTTATGTCAAAGTAACCAAGGAAGTAAGTAGAATATGTAAATTATTATAATTTAAACATAACCACTTTGAAAGATCCCATTATCTTTAGTGTTAGACTTTGGACTAAATAGGTCATCATAGATGATATCATTATAGTGATCTGCGACTATTAAAATGGTTTCAGTACTATCTATCACTAGTGTATTAAAATGATTTCAGTTTTATTAAATATACATAAAAATTAGTTAAGTACATCTTAATCAGGTCAATCAATATTTTAGCACCCAAAAATTTATCTATGTAATGAAAATAATACTGTAATTTATAAGTATAAAATTGTATTCTATTCCTCTATAGTGTAATGTGGCGAGTCTTCAAAAAATATGTGACACACTCTCAGAGCATAGATCATGGACGTTGGCTCACTTGGTAGCTCACTATGGGCTATGTGAACTATTTAATGATCCCGATATACAGAAACAGATTGATGATATTGATCCAACCACTGGGATAACGCCTTTAATGGTAATTTTCTGCTATTATTCTCACATTATCAGCAATTCCTTGTAAGCAATTAAATGAATCATTCAAATTATAAAGTGAATATTATGTATGAATGTGTAATTACAATGTTATTGCATAATTTGCTTTTAACTTGAAATTATTACCTTATTACTATAACTTTGTTCCCGAACTTAAAATTAGCAAAAAAATTTCATTTTGCTATGGTGAAGATTATCATGCATATAATTACATAAAAAATCAAATCATAATTGATTTAGGAATAAAGAAAAATTACATTTAAATTAATCTCATTTATTTATATAACTTCAAAATAAGAAACCATTTTTGTTTTTAAGTGGGATATGAATGCTGAGTTTTGTACAATTCATAAATTTTGAAAGGGTTATTGAAATAGTAGAATAGTAACAAAAAAATACAGTATTAAGTTTATGTAAATTTAATTATGTAACTAAACTATTGAATACATTTTTAACTAAACCAAACATAATTAATCTTTATGCTACTGGAGTTATAGATAGAGACTAACTAATTAATCTGACATTATCAGCCCAAAGATATTTAATGATAAGGCAGCACTTTTAATGTTATTACTAAACAAAAGATTACGATAAAAAACTAGGTTATATATACAAATTATGTTAATTTGATATTGTTCAAACTGGAATGGGATATTGCTAACCCAGTGGAAATCAATCTAAGGAGTGTACATAGATTAATAAAATTTCTTTAAATATGCAACTACATATTAAAAAAATGCAATATTAAATAATTAATTGATACTGCTATGTAACAGTGTTATTACTGTATATTTATTGGAATTTAAAGGCTTTAAAAATTACTACTTTGTATATAAATACATTAACTTCCAATTAAAGAACTTACCTCACCTACAATATTGTAATAAATTTAATATACTTTTGTTGAATAATTAAAGGAACAGAAACTTTTTGTAATTTTGTAATACTAAAATGAATTTTTAATAAGTGGAAATAAAATTTTAAATATTTAAAATTACTACATTCACAAAATTGTACTATTTGAAAGGAAAATGTTATCACAGTGACATGGGTTTGTCAAAAATACGTAACATTAAAAATATTCTATATACCTAGTAATATTATTTTCAGGTTGCAATCAAAAATAACAACATAAGAATGGTGCAGAGTCTGCTATCGTTAAATTGTAGTTTGGATATAATTGATACAGAGGGCAACACAGTCTTCCACTATGCAGCGGCAAGTAACAAAGAAATTGTTAATGTGAGTTTTACTTTGTATATATCTACTTTGTTTATGTATTTGTTGTAAATCTAACTAACAATAAGTAATCAACGTTTTTATAATTTAACACATTTCTCATTAAAAGTAAGCTTCATTTTCATTCCTAATATTTAAAATAATATTTTAGATGTTTTGTTGTTTCTTAAAACAAAATTCATTATAATTTATAGGCTTTGACTGCAAAAACAATATCATTCCTGAACAAGTACAACAAGCAAGGGTATACGCCATTGCACATGGCTTGCCTCGCAGATGCACCTGATTGTGTACGCGCCCTTATATTGGCGGGGGCGGATGTTAATCTGTCAGCAACACCCAGAAATTATAATACTAGCACAATACCGGGTATGTAGTATGATAGAAAACATAAAATACATATTATCTATGTAAATTGTTTATTGATAACGTTTGTTCCATTTTAAATTGTATAAATCACTAGCTGCGCCCCGCGGTGTTACTCGCGGATTTCCGGGATGTAAAGTAGCCTATGTGTTATTCCTGGACGTTAGCTTCCTGTATACAATATTTTATCAAAATCGGTTCAGCCGTTTGAGCGTGAAGAAGTAATAAACATACACACACACTCACAAACTTTCGCAATTATAATATTAGTAGGAATTGTCGAAAAATTCTTAATACATACATGTAGGTATCTGTCGAACAAAAAAATCTTAAAAAAAACATTATTAATAACTTTGATATTATAGATAGATAAAGAAATATACAAATAGATAAAGATTTAACATGTTGTTACAGCTATTTTAACAAGTTCCACGAGTTCAGTGTTGCCAGGTAATTAAGTAACACTAACATGTGAATGAACTTGAAATGCATCAATAATGTTGTTGTTTTAGTACTAAATAGTCATAAAATATCTACATAAAACCTCTACAGGTTTGACTACTTAACAAGATTGTTAAAAGATGGTTTTATTTTGGTTGCAAAACTTTCGTAATATTAAATATGATATTTACAGAAACATTTTTCTTAAATATAATTTTTGTTAACATAATTGATTGAAAAATTCCCAAGCTACTAACTAAGCTCTTAAGTAATCACTGATTTAGTCAGTGTATTTTTTGTTACTAGAAATTAATTCTCATTTTGCTGGGAATGAAAGAAGAAAATATAAAAATTATAATATAGTGTATAAAGGTGTGTGATATTGTTTAATGGTTTTTATATAATTGTATGACGTCACTGGAGATTCCCGATAATCAAAAATTATTCTCGGATTTAGTTTTAAATTGTTTTTCTTCCAAAATATAACACAAACACTGAATAACAACGATTTAATAATTCTAAACAATAGGTAATAAAGCATAATATTACAATTAACACGTACTAAGTAGAGCTATAGTTGAAATATTAATATGTAATCTATGATAAAGTATTGGCATTTGAGTTCATTTGATCAAGACTGTTTATCGTGTCGTGTCAAAATGGAGGAATGTTTCTTGGAAGATGTTTTGGGCCAATTAAAAAGTATGCAATATTTGTAGCAAACTTAATATAAATAAATTATTATGTTTGTTTTTTTACATTACAGGTATCGTGGGTGATGTACTTCAAGACAATCAGCCGAAGCTTTACCAACAGGACATGAAACGAGGCGGCACACCTTTACATTGGGCTATATCGAGAGAGGTTGTTGAGGCGCTTGCGAACAAAAACTGTGACATCAATGCAGTCAACTTTGATGGGAGAACCGCCCTTCATGTGATGGTATTAAGGGGCAGATTGGAATGTGCTATCGCGTTACTTTCGAGGGCTGCAGAACATTCCATTGGGGATAACGAAGGCAACACACCATTGCATTTAGCAGTGAAGCAGACTAATATAGCTATTGTCCAAGCTCTCGTGGTTTTTGGAGCGGATTTGGAAGCGAAAAATAAATCTGGTTTCACAGCGAGACACACAGTCCCAAAAGAAATGTCGAACAACAACTACGACAAGATCCTTTATATACTGCACTCTGTTGGAGCTGAACGGTTAGTTGCAATTATTGACGCTTATGTGCAATTACAAATTGAGTTTTCCCTTTAAAGTAAACGATCATAATATGAAAATAAGCAGCACATAGTAAATATTTCATAAGTTTACAGTTATATAAAAAAAAATGTTTAACTCAATGGACCCATTCTCTAAAATGGTTCTATCGCATCCAAATAGTTGGATTGAAATTTTAATCGGCATATTTAGTTCATTTAAGTACATGGTTTCCCACGAATATATCACACAAGACACCGTTCTTGTTGTCTGTAATATGATTTGATTTATTGAATTTTTACTGAATATGATTGTCCTTGATGTATTCGGTAGATGTTCGTCCAGTACTTCGGGTTGCGGTCCTGGCTGCGCTGCCCGCGGTGAGTATAATGGAGTCCCGCCTCAAGCGGTCGCGCGCGCCGCTACAAGGGAGATGGTCAGCGACATGATCACAGCTGCTACCATGGACCGCGCCGCAGCTATGGACCCCAACGAGAAGGTCGGACGGTACGTGGGATAATAGTCTTTATATTGAGGACATTACGGTACATTATTTCATGGGATAGAGACGAAATCTCTAAGCATTCCATGGATTTATCGTCGCGTTGCAGAGAGAGGTGCTTCAACAGTGCCTGGGACTTGCAACCCAGGTGTAGGTTTAAGGGACCCTTATCTAATGCGCGTTATACACTCACCTCCACTATACAAGCTCCTCTCCCTACCTAACCAAATTTAGTAACATCTCCTTCGTCATTGTTCGGTGATCAGTTAGTTTTATCGTTTTGCCTTAAATGAAACGAATAGATTTTAGCGGCACAAAGGTAGGATTATTAAACATGTCCACAGAGTTAACGAGTAATCCTAGAAAGTCACAGTACATAATTGATATACTATTACTGTTGTAATTATATCAAAATAGGACTTGTGGTGCCCACTAGTTAACGTAAAACACGTTTGACATTTAAAAATAAAACTATTCTTTCTTTCTTGTTTAGTCAGCAAACACGTTGCTTTATTTTAAATACCAATATTTAATTGTTTCATGTATTATAATGGTTATTTTGAATGTATATTTGCAGGCTACTTTGTTTAGATGGAGGGGGTATTCGTGGTTTAGTGTTGGTTCAATTGCTTCTAAACCTCGAGGCTGCTGTCGGTAGATCTATCATTGAGTGCTTCGACTGGGTAGCTGGCACAAGTACCGGGGGAATATTAGCTTTAGCTTTGGCTACCGGAAAGAGTTTGAGGGATTGTCAAAGGTTGTACTTCAGAATGAAAGAATTCGCGTTCGTTGGATCAAGACCGTACCCTTCGGAGGCTTTGGAGACGATTTTGAAAGAAAATTTAGGTATTTTATTAGTTTCAAACTTATCATATGTTTAAGTGCGATGTAATTAACTAAATTTATATTTCGCAGGAACGCAAACTGTCATGGCAGACATAAAGAAACCGAATTTAATGATACTAGCCGTTCTGGCTGATCGCAAACCAGTTGATCTTCATATATTCAGGAACTACCAGTCCGCGCAAGAAATATTAAACGATTACAATGGAACTGCTAGTAAGTGTCATATCTACTATATACTATAACTAGCTGCGTCCCGCGGTGTTACGGTGTTCGTTTTGGCTAGGAATTTTCTCGAGTAAGTAAATATGTTTTTTCACTTATATGAGGAAAAGTCGAATATTTTCCGGGATGTAAAGTAATCTATGTGTTATTCCTGGACGTCAGCTTGCTGTATACAAAATTTTATCAAAATCGGTTCAGCCGTTTGAGCGTGAAGAAGTAACAAACATACACATACACTCACAAACTTTCCCAATTATAATATTAGTAGGAATTGTCCAAAAATTCATAATACATATATGTATCTGTCGAACAAAAAAATCTTAAAAAAACATTAATATCTTTGATATTATAGATAATAAAGAAATATACAAATAGATAAAGATTTAACATGATTCTAGGTGTTGATATTGTTACAGCTAAGTTACCTAGGAAGTAGAATTAATATATTTATAATAATTTTGTTTACTAACTTGAGCTCTCATTTCCAGGTCCTCACGCTGAGGCCGGAGATCAATCTACAGTGGTTTCTCTCCCGCCGCCGCCGCCTCCTTCTCAACAACTCGTGTGGGAAGCGGCACGAGCCACCGGCGCTGCTCCTTCATACTTTAGGGCTTCGGGCAGGTTAGAACTAGTTTTTATTAATATAATTGGTAAAGATAATATATATGTATATAGATATTAAGAGTTATTATCCAATCAACATATATGTGTATGTAAATTGAATCCCTCAGAATAATTAACTATGAATAAAATTAAAGTATAATTGTAGAAGCACATTAATTTCACTATATGCTTGTCCCAAGATCAACGAAAATATTATGAATGTAGTCATATAGTATAACTAGAAGACCCGGCGAACTTCGTATCGCCCTATAATCAAGAAATATCTGTTACGTTTTTGTAATAAATTAATTCATCTTATACCTCAGCCTCAGAAACACATAGTGGTTATTCTATTAATGTTATTAAATAGTCGCTCAAATATGACGTTTGTATTCTTAACGTAGCGCCATCTGTTGAATACTTAACTCAGTCAACAGATAATTGTAATAATGACAAATAATGTTCTTTAATAGACAAATAATTTTCAATAAAATAATATTGTGACTATAAATTGAGATGTAAGCTATCCTATCTTTCAAGTTGGATCAAAATGCACACGGAATGCAAATAAAATTTAAAATCGGTTTAGTAGTTTAGGAGTCCATAGCGGACAAACACGTGACTCGAATTTTTTATATATAGATAATTGTTTTGTTGCAGATATCTGGACGGTGGTCTGATGGGTAATAATCCGACTCTGGACGCGTTAACCGAACTAGCGGAACTACGACTCGCTCTTGAAGGCACGGGACAACGCGAGAAGGCTAAGAGTACTTACCTCAAGGTCGTCGTATCCTGTGGAACTGGTGAGTGATGGAAAAATCTCATCGTGACACTCACGATTATTATACCCTATGAAAAGTTTTCTGATGAGTTTAATACACCCAATATGAGATAGGGAAAAATATCTTCAGTAAGATTTAACTTGTGTTTCTAGTAGGAGACTTTTTGTTGGGTATAAGCCATACTTGTTCGTTTAAAATACCTCAATTAACAATAATAATCAATGATTTATATATAAACTAGAAGACCCGGCGAACTTCGTAACTATAATCAAGAAATATCTGTTACTATCGCCCTGTAATCAAGAAATATCTGTTAAAGCCATAAATCTCCGTGTTATGAATTCAGATCCCCTTGAACACACAAAGAATTTCATCAAAATCGGTCCAGTCGTTTGAGAGACGTTCAGTGACATACACACTCACAGAAGAATTACATATATATACATATAAAGATTTCATAATCTGACTTCTGATGTTTGAGTCTATTTGGAATGTTATCTATTATTTCAAATTATTAATAAATAAGTAATTTCTTACATTTATAATTTCAGGTCTCATTCCCGTTTCAAAATTGAAAGATATCGATGTTTTCAAGCCGGAAAGTTTATGGGACACTGCTAGAGTGGCTTGGGGGCTGTCTAACATCGGAGGCTTATTGGTGGATCAGGTATGAGATATATGACACTACTTATATAACTTCTGTTACTATCCTAGCACCCTGTATAGTGTATATATAGTTAATATCGCAGCACCCTTTATATACAGTTGTTATAAAGAAAGACACATCGGATCATGCATGGTTAACAATGTTGTGAATTTGATCGTTCTTAATTTAAAATAAATTTCTATCTATTTGTCTAAGCATAATAGGCTGTGATTATAAATTGTGATACAGGAAACAAAAGGAATAATTTATTATCATAGATATAATAATCACTATTTATACCCAACCTTCGTCGAACCCAGTACCTACATTATTATGAATTTGAGCCGGTTTCGCATTTTCACAATAAAAACCGAAAGTCTCAAGGTTTTGTACACGTAAACATGTAGTTGTCTAAGTTCAAGAACAATGCTAAGCTGTTCCATAGACTATAGGTCGTTGCATTTTCTATCATATAATTTCCATATACTTACATTATAAAGTCGAACCTCGATAAGTCGAAAACCTCCAAATCTCGAAAAATGTTTTGTTACCATCCCTTAAAACACCAAAACGTCCATTACTCGAAATCTCAGCTCCCTCTATTAATTGAAATTGTACTGAGAGTCCCTTCAAGCCATTTTGGTGCATATTTTCCCTCCGCAACTCGGAAAATTAAATTTCATCTCTGTAACTCGAACATGGCAATGTTTTATTTAAATAAAACTAATATTTTCGGATTTTTACTTCGCGTTTTTATTTTTGACTATAAACACACTGACACACTGCCACTCACATCTCGTCTGCCCGTGATCACCGTTGCTGACAAGTTGCCGAAACGTCGGGAGTATATAGTTTCTAATCAAAAATAAAACGCGAAGTAAAATCCGTAAATATTAGTTTCATTTAGTATACAGGATGTTCAATTAATTCGTCATTATATGTAATCACCCTGTATGTTCCAGGCTACACAGTCGGACGGTCGTGTAGTGGAGCGCGCTCGTTCGTGGTGTTGGTCGCTCGGCACCCCCTACTACCGGTTCGCTCCTCAGATGTCGCGCGACGTGGCGATGGACGAACGACTCGACGAAAGGCTCGTAACTATGCTGTGGGAAGCTCACGCGTACATGCGCAGCCAACGAGATAGACTCGTCGAACTCGCCACGCTGCTGAGATCCAATGGTAATTATCTTATTCATATACTATAATATTAGTAATATTAGTCTTACTAGCATATGAATACATAAGTGGTGGCATATTTTTATACTCACATTCGCTATTATAACTGAGCACGAGTGACACATACATAATCATCACTAATAGGCTAGTGTCGATAGGTTTTAAAACATAATTAAATTATAATAGGATGAAACCCATTAGAAAAGGAGGGGTTTAATATAAAAATTAAAGGAAAAATAATATACGGGCGATCTGAGGTCGGGAAGGGTATTTAAGAGTAAAAAATAGGTTTTCTCGATATCCGACAAAACTAAAAGACCTACGGAAAAAAGTTATATTGCAAAGTTGTAGCTAATAAAAAGATCTAAAACTTTTGAACTAACATTTTTTTCACATAACCTCAAAATTTATGTGAAAAATTCGAAAAACCAAGTTTAGATATATGTATTTATATTTTCAGCTTATTTTAATAAAATTCGAAAAAATCAGCCTCCTTTTCAATTGAAAATACTTATTTTATTATATACACACACATATGTATAACTAGCTGCGCTCCGCGGTGTTACCCGCTGATTTCCGGGATATAAAGTAGCCTATGTGTTATTCCTGGACGTCAGCTTCCTGTATACAAAATTTTATCAAAATCGGTTCAGCCGTTTGAGCGTGAAGAAGTAACAAACACACACACACTCACAAACTTTCGCAATTATAATATTAGTAGGATTTGTCAAAATATGTTATTTAATGTCCTTTCTGAATTTCAGATATACCGATGTCCGTTTAATGGATGAATTGTTGCAGGCTTTAAGTAATATCCACAAAGTATTCAAAGATGTTGAAGATGTAAAAAGATATTTCTGCAACTGCTTAGCCATAATAACTATATAAGAAATACAATTAGATTGTTAGAATGAAACTCTAATAATGAAATTAGTACATACATAAATAATTTATTTACATTGTTGTTACATAAAAAGATTATTTAAATCTTTACTTAGTTAATGTTGTTATAGTTTCTATAGAACAATGTGATGAAATAACTTTCCATGTAATTGTTTTTATTTATTATTTTTTTATGTTATGCTATACAAATTGTTATTACGTAATTTCCTTTAAGAGTAATAATAATATGAATTTAATTTTCTCTCTATTTTATTTGTTGGTTAGTTAGTCATGATTCTGTGATTTATTTTTTATTTTCGCACAATTGCTTCTGAACCTTATTTTGGTTTAATGTTTTAGTAGCGGGATGTTAGGATAATTAAAAATGCACATTAATCTTAATTGTTTTAAATGTTTAGAAGAATAAGTTAAATACAAGCTTTATCGCAAAGTTAATATCATCAAAGGAGTGCTTTAAATTGCAGAAGCAAATGTGTATTGACTGATTGTAATTCTTAATAAATAAATGTGTAAAGGAATGGGAGTTTAATTTAAACATGTTGTTATTCACAAAGCACTTTATTTTTATAAAAGTTTCTCACTAAGAGGCTCATACAAAGACTCAATAATATCACATTTCTCATGTGGATATTATCAATCCACGAACTATTCTAGAACTAATTAGTCTATTCTAATATTTCCTAACTAAGTACCACATGTACTGAAGCCGAAATAATCATCATTAACAATAAAACATGGAATATTATATTTTAGAAAATGTTTGATTGTAGAAAATATATTTTTTGTTTAGAAATAATATAAGTACACTGAGATTCTATTATTAATGATTGTACTTGACGGACAGACCCCGATCATTTTAATATTAAAATACACAAAGTACTTAACTAAATATGTATGCGGGCAGTTAATAAATTTCACAGACATTTTTTTACTGACGAAGTTCTTCACATAGTAATTCTTTTCATATGAACAAATGATAAATTACGATTTACACGCTTCCAGTTCCACCCAATAATTAATTACTGTCGAATGTTAAAACTATTGACAGATGTCATTTGGGAATAATCGCTTAAAAATACGTAAATTGAAAGAAACTTAAATTATTCTAAGAAATAATTATAGGAACGGTAACTCTTATGTTATTAAAGTAGTAGTTGTAACAAAAAATATAAGATAATGGGTCTACTATTGGCGTTAATGTCATTGTAACTATCAAGAATTTATAAATTGTTTAAAGAAGAAAACATATTAACTTTTTCAAACAAATCTTAACGATTGCAATGAAACTGAAAGAATTTTTAATCTGTTTAACTCATTTTAAAATAACATTACTAGTAAGTACTATTTTATTGTCGAAGTTGAGGAACTGTTAAAATGATAATATAGTTAAAGATAAAAGAAATGATTTTTAATTGTTATTTGAAGTATGTCAAAAAAGACAAAAATAACCAATTAACCAATAGAAGACCCTAAAGTATATTAATTATCTACTTTAATATTATTAGGTGTCCGAAGCATTCGGCAGTTAATGTTAAGAAAAATCATGAATTTACGTATTAAATTGAGGACTTCACAAATACGATTTTAAAATGATTCTGGTAGGAAAAATTGGTTCTTATATTTTAAATAAAACATACTATGTCATTAAAAAAATAAAATTCATGCTTTCGTATTTAGTATCCATAGTTCTTCTGTATTAAAATTTTTAGATCATTGTTCTAAAGTAACAAAATACCATATGAGAAATAATTTATCATTTTCTAATTTCTTATATTTAATTACGTTTTAGAACCATACATGATTTTTTTAGTTCATTCTTATAATAATATATAAATGCTTCTAAAAAAATTAAGAATCATTTAGTACAACCATAGTCATGATTTAAAAGCCAATTAAATTATATTTGGCACGAAAAAAATAAAAATATATAAATTAGATAAAATATTGAAAATTATTTTAATTTTAATCATTGTACTAAGTACGAAATAAAATAATTTTGAGCTTATTATAGAAATAAACTGTTCACAAAATAAATAAAATTATCAATTCAATTGCTATTATTTGTCTTTAAATAAAATGTAATGGAAATGAGAAAAAAGTAATTCAATCATATATTTTTCAGTGAAAAGGCAGTTATTGAAAACTTACAAAGATCTTATAACTAATATTTTGGACTCCTGTACACTTTTATTAGTAAAAAACTATGGGAACTTTAGTCTTTGAATGTAAGATTAACAAATACCAGTCTACTCTACTAGGATTGTTCTAATGCTGTGTATACACTACCGATATTTTCAATGGCAACACCGCGAATAACCAACGAGCAACAACCCTACGACAAATTATAACAAAAGTTAATATAGCTGCCGCGCCCCTAAATCGAATATCACAATAAACCTTTGGACTCATCACCAAACAGTACATAAGTACGTCTCAATATATATCTTCTTGTTCCATGTTCGCTATCAAATTCCTTTTTTCTTCCTTGCCGGGCTTAGCGTCGACTAGCGTCGGCCGAATGGAGTTACGAGGCTCGAAACATGGCTGAAAAAAATATATATATTAGAAATCATTATACTAACAAGCTACACAGTAAAGAATTTTATATAAGCCTTGAGAAAAGACCTTCGAAATAATGTTTTTTAATTGAAATAAATATTCTCATAATGAGTTAATAAATTCTCGTATAATTTCTTTCTTATCGTTTGATGGTCATTTATATGACATATTTTATTGCAGTGAAATTGTAGATTTTAATTGAATTCAATCGATTTATACGCTTGGCTTAAAACACATTTTTCCCTATGACAACAACTTCGCTAACTGATTGTGTAACTAAAAACAAGTTTACATAATTTTTTAAAAGTAAATATATAGATAATTTTAACATTTCATTGGATTTGACCTTTAAATTATACGTCACTATGAATTATACATTATTTTTAATATTTTTCTTGTAAACACTGTCTGATTTACGAGAATAATAAACGTATTGATAGGAGATAAGAAGTGAAGGAGGTCTTAGTGTATTCACTGCTGATTTAATCTGTGGCAAGGTTATCTGTAATAATGACATTAGCTTTACGACGCCGTTTGAATAAATATTTCAAACAAAATACCGTTTGTTTTTAATAAACACTATTTTTTAATCATTATTACAGGTAAATAATATTAGTATTTGATTACCAACATTTTTAAAGACATAAAAACATACAAATTGTTAATGCTACGGTTATATGTATATGCATTATTATGTATGCGGTGGTATTTTTAATTATAAGGTCAAACCAAGACGACGTTCTGAAAGTTTGAAAACAAAAAATATTCTGTTTCAAAGAATATTTATTTAATATTTATTTTACTCACTGCTTATTTCTTACGATCGCAAGAAAAAAAAAACTGTAGTACAAAATGTCAACTGGAATAGTATTTTGTTTTGGTCGGTTGGCTGTTTTATGTGAGACCTAGTAATATTTTTTATTCTGTTATGTTTATCTATATAACGAAAACTTACATTTGAGTTTTGACAATGACAGTGACGAATAAAATGATTAAATAATATATACTTTATAAAAGTATATATTATTTAATTATTATAATATTTCCACATTTTTATGCAGTATATATCTCCTATGTTTGCATCTAACTTAATTTGTGTTTTAGATCAACTAACAAAGTTCCTAATTATGACTTCAGTCGTGGCAATTAAAAGCAATTTCATTTAAAAGTTAATCCCGGATCATGTCTCTTCCAATTCTAGACGACATTGGCAGAATATACTGTGCATTTCTTTACACGGATGAAGGCTATATTTTAAACAACTAATCATATATTATTATAATAATATTGATATAATTAAGTTAATCTCACCGTTTCACAAATGTTCATATTGCAGCAATCCTCGATGGTTATCTCGCAAGCGTCTGGTCGAGCCGTCAGCGGAGTCCCGCTCTTGTTAACTATTATACGCTTCTTTATTCTGCAATAACGATGTTTCATTGCTTATATAAAGAAATATCTTTAAGTAAATCAGTGTACAGATATAAATATTAAAAAACTAGTGCCGTGAACACGTAGCCTGTGACATTTACGATCAATTAAAATCGTTTATTCGTTTTTATTTCGTCATATAAGTTTTATCTTCTACATTTCTATAAAAAGGGCTCAATCCTCTCAATATTTTAATTCTTTAACAATTTAAACTAAGCGCAATTCCGACTTGTTTGATAATAATAGAAAAGCCAGACATTCTGTACACCAATGAATATATAATAGCAGTTTTTACTAAAGTCAATAAATATTTAGCGGTGGTATGTTAATTAGTATCATTACATATCAAGTAACATTTTCACTTGATCGTGTTTATATTATAAACAAACATAACTTGATTTATTTTGATTACATACATTTCAATATTACTTGTTTATAATATAAGCAAATCCAAAAACAAACAAATTAAGTTAATGATAATGTATGTTGTAGGATTGTATTGATATTGTTTCAGGTTGAGACCTTTAGATGAATGAAAAAATATGCATAGTATGGCATGTATTACACACACCTTCACACATACATACACACACACACACACATATTGATGGGTCCTATGTATAAGGGCAAATGTAAAGCCCCCAGTACACAATGGCCTATGATGGGCCACGCTTTGCAATGCACAATTGTAGGCCACGATCACTTGGTGTTCACACAATGGCGTATGGCTCATTGCTGCCTGGCAAACCACTCGCGATGGACGTCGAAGTAATTACGGCTGCGGCTATTTATTTGTATACTGTTTACAAGTATTACAGAAGTGTGACGATGGTGGATGTTGACCATTCATCGAAACAGGACAAGGTACGTAGATTTTTTAATGTGGTACTTAGGATATAATATCAATATTTAGAATGTTAACGTAAACAACATACTACTTAAGATTGTTTTTACCGTTTTCAGGCAATTCATGGACAATCTGTTAAGCGACCTTGTTGCAACACAACTATCCCGGTCAGCGGCCGGTGACGAACTAAACAATGGCCGATTGTGTAAACACCGCAGGCCACGTTACGCCACGATTCCTTTGAAGTGTGCCCAAAAAACCGATAACTCTCCGATTGCTCGCCACGATGGACAACTGTCCGCCATCATATACCATTACCCCCTGTACACAATGGCGATGGCCTGTAGTGGGCACGCATGGGCCATTGTGTACTGGGGGCTTAATAGTGTATACCATTTTCATTTATTCTGCTTTAAACACTTCATAGTACTGTATTCTACAACATATTTTAAGTAAAAAAACATAGGTAACACACTTTTTAACATATAAGGGCTTGTATAATGTATATCATATAAAAATATATATATTAAAAAAAATAGTAGGTTTACAAAAGTTTATCAAGCTTAAATGACATACATATATGTCATACTTGCGTCAGTTTTCACAAGTACAAGATACACTGAATTTAAACTTAAAATGCTTCTAATGAAACATTTACATTTTGCACATTGGCCCTTATACATAGCAGCCATAGATATACACACTGTTACATTAAATTCTATGTGTATATATATTCTCACTTATATATGTATATATATTCTCACTCACTCACTCAATTATATGTGAATATATATTCTCACCTGGGCCTCCGTCTCAGGTACAGTACATTAGCAGCTAGTACAGCGCTGGTGAGTGCCAGCAAGCCAGCTAATACTCCAAGCGCTAACAACACTGGATCACGAACAGCGTCCCACCCAGACACACAGCCTAACATCAATAATGATGAAGAGTTCACTTGGGTACAGCTGCAAATGAAATAATATTGTCATTATTATTATGATCATCATCGGTGTTTTGGTTTATTTTAAATTGATATTGAAGATTTTAGCTTAAAGTGTTATAATTTTTTTTAAGGGTTGCATAATTCTTTACATGACATATCTTTTCTATATTGATCACAGTTGTTGTAAAGTGAATTAAATGATTGGGATCCTAAAGTAGTTTTTGGTTGTGACTTTTGATTTTAATCTTACTTGTGTAATTCTTCTACCAAATTTATTGACATACAAGGATTTTTTTTGGACGCAAAATTTTATTTTTATTTCGCAATTTTAATATGTTTACTTAGAAATCGTTTTATAACTGTGTTAATACGTACTTGCAGGGTTCTACAAAGGGTGTGTCCGTTGTTTTAATTGGCTCAGGTTTGAGAGTTTCACAGCGAACGCCCTCGAAGCTATTAGCACATTTACAGCTTGGCTTGTTTTGTATTAGCGAGCACTCGCCGTCGTTCAAACAATATCCATAGCATACATTTAGTTCACACCTTTGTCCGGTGAAACCATCTTGACACCTGTTATGTTATGAAGAAAATTATTATTATAACATTCGTATATTTATTATTCAATATATTATTCGCTTTATAATATGTTTCGATCGGTTAAAGAATATATGTTTAATTGTATTTATCCTGCTGAAGTTAACTGCCAAAATATTTATTATTACTCACTTGCATTGAGGTTTTCCTTCACTGTTACTGGTACAATCGCCGTTCAAACAGAAGTTCTGACAAACAGATATCTCACACCTATCCCCAATGTATCCCGGGGAACATTTACAATCGAATATCCCCGTCTTGACTCCATGAAGACAAAACAGACCGGCGTCTCTAGGAATGTTAATGGAATCGTTCACAGCGCTGTGATTTTTCTGCAAGTTAACCAAAACTTCGCATCCCGATACTCCTTCTGTTTGATCAGCTACTTGATAATTAGCTACAATCCCGAAAGGGACTTCAGTTGAGAACTTTATAAGTTCCTCGGGTTCCGTATTAGTTGCATTTTTGGATATCTTCCATACTGATTTATATCCCCAATCCACCCAGTAAACATGGTCCTTTGAGACAGTTAGCGTATTCGGCTGGTGGTAAGTTCCGGCGTATATCGTACTTCTATCCTTGCCATCTAAATCAGATGATTCTATGGAGTAATGTATTCCTTCTTTGTCATCAGCCCAGTACAGTCTCTTGGTCCGTTGATCGACTGCAATGCTCACTGGCATATGTATATCAGTTGAAACAACAACACGTCTCTCACTGCCATCCAAGCGCGCTCTTTCTATTGTTGCTTTAGTAATATTGGTGTTCGTCCAATAAATATACCTGTTAAAATAATATTTTTTAATTACTAATTCCTACTATAATTTATTGTTACGGTTAATATAAAACTTACCCTCTACAACTATCAACAGCAATGTCCCTTGGGATTTCATCGTTCATCTTCAATAAAAGATTCCCATAGATGCTGTCCTTTGACCTCGGCCATAGAGAAACCCAGTAAATACTTCTCTCGTTGGTGTCGGTCCAGAACATTTTTCCGCTGACGGGGTCGAATGTTAGGCCTTGTATGTTCTCATAAGATCTTCTACCGACTAACGGCAGATATTTCTTCGTGATTAGATTGTAACTAAATATCGAAGCGTTGTCATTCTGTTTGTCGACAAACAACAGCATATTGTGTACGGCGTCATATGCCAATGCCGTTAGATCTCTGAATCTAATGCCTTCATTGTTAGTTTTAGTTTGATTAGTGTAAAACTCCAATTGGTCCCCTGTTGTTATAGCGATATCTGCAAACAATAGATCCAAGGTCAGACTTGAGCTAGGAACAAAATCTCAATAAATACTAACGAACTATTTTTAAGTGTTATATAACAGTATTATGCATTACACATAATTCGTACATAGTTTGGCAGATGCATAGCACGTCCCGTGATCTCTTAGTCACTTACGCAACGTTTTGCGTTAAATATTTTATCTTAAAACATACTTGTATACAACCTACTATGCCGTACAGACGTCAAAATAATTGAGTAAATATGTGACGTAGTAAGAATGTAAGATGAATAGATATAAGAAATTGTTGAGATGATTTATTATCGTTTGTATGGAATGAGGTTGCTTGTATAGCAACAGTATAGAACAGTGACATAGCGATCGTTAATCAAAAGGCATCCTAACTGGGGTCAAGTATTTTAATTTATTTGCTATACGTTATAGGTACGAGCGACTGTTTTGTAATGTAGCGTACCGATTCGCTGTAAATTCAACATTATTTGTTTGTATATTCGATACAATAATTTAACAAAACTAAAACAACTTTAGGTGGACGGATAAGAATTTATCAATTTACATTCTAAGAATTAAGTTTGATTCAAAAATAATACAAACCAATATACCCTTCGTGGTTAACAAGATTTTTTTGTTCTCATTATAATTTCGCATATATTTATATCTACATGGATTATAAATAATTATCTATTTGTTTTTGTGTGTACAATAGAGAATACAATCTTGACGTATTTCAAATCCCGGTGTACAAAACCTGCTTATATACAAATAACTGGTATGCGTTATTACTACGTGGTCTTTGAATACGTTATTTACGTTTTGATGACGTCACAGAAGCGTGGGTCGTCTGCACATTTGAATATTTTTCTTACAGTTTGAGTGCGACGTAGGAATATTAATTTACATTGTATAAAAACAATTTAAAAATTCCATTATATTTATATGTAGAATAAATATAACTTGCATGATTATATTATGTTATATTTGTCCTGCATAAAATATTAAGATTCGATTTGTAAGAAGAATGCTTTCTTGTGGACCCTACAAATTTAAAAACATATATATCAAAGAAATGGTAACTTATTTTTTATTAGAGATCTCAGTAAGAAACCTTTTTTATATAGGAAACATGTACATATCCTATACATATAAATCATTAGTTTTATTTTTGTTTTCTTATACTTATGATTGATTGTCCTTCCTTTGACCCAATTACTTAATGATCCATACATTTAATGTTCAAACAATTTACACAATCAAATCATATATTAAATATTCAAATTACATTTGATGTTTAATATATTCAAATTAAATTTGTAATAAAAATTATATATCTGTAATGTTCGTTACAATGTAACATTTATGAACATTCAAGTTTTATTGGGACTGTGCTAATTGGTTTTGATAAAAATATTAATTATTATATATTAATAACAAACAAGTTAAGGGAATAATAATAATAAACCCTTATCAGCCTGGGTTATATTTAATTTACGATTTTCTTTAATGGTAACATTGTTTAACGTTCAGGAATCGTCTTTTAATGAAGTTCGAATTTAATGGATTTTTTTGGAGTATATTAACATTTTGTACAAAAACGAAAATTACCGTTACAAAAAACTAAATGTTATACACATATATGTATTTATATAATACAATATGTACGCATCTAAATATTTTGATTATATCAAAAGTATATGAGAGTATATTTTGTATGTAACTGTAACGTATGATAACAGAGTGACATTTTTACTGTAAAATATAGAAACTGATATACATTTATTTTCTTTATAAACGCATATTCTCCTATAATTAATGTATTAGTATATTAACGGAACTGGTTCATACATATTGGTATAAAACGATAGTAATTATTATGAAACATAAAAATATATATTACATGAAAGACTTCACTATATCAATTAAATAATGTACATACTATATTATATATCATCAAATGTATATCTATTATCTATACATAAGATATAAATATATTATTATTGTCATATGTCATTGGTATGCGGAAATAATTGAAGCCAAAGTTTACTTATAGTAAGGTTACCGAAGTGATTAATATATTAACCTAATAAAATAACTAATAATATATAAAGAACGGAAGTGTTAGCGAAAATATAATTAAAGAATTATTATTTGGAAAATGACGTCATCATTACAAATATTCGTCAAACGATATAAATATAGGTAGTGACTGAAAACTGCCTGTATTTAGTTTCACGATAAAACCCGTAGTAAAAGTCCGCAGTACGTTCAGTATAAAAATGTATAAAGATTTGAAGCAGCTATTATTATATAGTAAATGAAAGTTTATTTTTGTCAATAATGAGGGCTTCTCATGCACGAGGGCGCGAATTCGATCCTGGCCCAGGCAAGTACCAATGTGATTTTTCCGAGTCATATGTACCTATACTTTCTAAGAGTATTTAGACATCACTGATTAATGCTGATTCCCAAAACAGATTTGATGTCAGGCAGGCCGGTCGTAAAAACAATTAGCCAAAACTATTCACAACATGTAAGGCAGACCCTGGCTAAAGCTGGGAAATTGCCAGGTAGAAGAATAATGAATATGCCCTATAATATTAACAATTAGGTTTAAAAATCTTCATATATACTAATATTATACTAATATTATAAATGCTAAAGTAAATCTTTCTGTCTGTCTGTTACGCTTTCACGCCTTAACCACTGAACTGATTTTAATGAAATTTGGTACACAGATATCGTTGACTTTGAGAAAGAACATAGATACTTTTTATCCCAGACTTTTGAAAGGTTCTCTTGAAAACGCGATATAACCAAACTCCACGCGGGCGAAGCTACGGGCGGAAAGCTAGTAAACACATATTATTATGCCTTATACTTGCTATGCAATTTTAAGACGTACTTGAATAAATATCAGAATTTTTCAGGATTAGGTCATAAATATTTAAATAATAAAAGTATATAACGCATTATTATATAAAATAATTAGGTACAATAAAAAAAAATACACATATTAAATCTTTATGTACTAAAACCATCAATGTCATTTAAATTTATTATAAATAACTTATTTTCTCATAACAGATTTTTTTACATAAATCTTCAGAAACAATACAATGATTCTTTATATAAAAAAAATACAATAATATTTTATGAATGTACTTTTCCTTTTATTGTTCTTATTCCAAGTAAACTCAGTGTCCAATTAGTTTAAAATAAAGTTGTTTTATAGCACCAAATATAATAATATTATAACACTGAGATTCTCGAGGTTATTCAATGTATATCAAGAGCAGGGTCGGCGGTAGAAGGTTTACGTAAATTGTGAAATTTTTAATACGTTTAGTTTAGTTTGTGATTAATTATTCCAATCATGTATAACAGTCACGATTTTGAAGCATTCAACGGTACAAGGTTTAGCATTTATAAGCTACTGGACATAATATATGTATGTCTTATGTATAAAATTCTCGTGTCGCGGTGTTAGACGGCTCCGAAACGGCTGGACCGATTTTAATGAAATTTAGTAAGCATATTGAGTAGGTCTGAGAATCGGCCAGCATCTATTTTTCATACCCCTAACTCATAAGGGTTGCTGACCCTTAATTATGTTTTTCGGACGAATTTTTTTGTTTTAATTTATTAAAAAATACATACAACCCAACATTTTTACTTTTTTATCACCAACCCCTATTTTTTATTATAGCAAAACAACGTTCGCCGGGTCACCTAGTATGTATATAAACATATCTTTGGAGAATATAACAAAATATCTATGAATCATAAGAAGACGTGAATATTCATTAATAATTAATATAATTATATAAATTGCATTTATCCGTCCGTTTTAGTTTGCGTTTACTTTATCAATCAATCATAGATCGCAAGTTATTTTGATTTATGAGCAAAAAAAACAAGTAAAGTCAGGCGTAAAACATAAACGTGGAAACTAATAAAGAAGCTTTTAATTCAGTGTTTGACTATTGAGTGGCGTACGTGATTAAGAAGGTAGAATAAGCAAATACTTCAGAGATCACATTTCACAGGCTTATTCAATATTTAACGATAGGTAGTATCGCCATCCAATAGTATATACATATCCTTATATGTACATGTCCTTATGTAGAAATTAATTCAGAAAAAAATACGTTAAACAATAAATATTCTCATAGTACTACAATTATTATCAGTCAGTGGTGGCCTAGTGGTTAAAGGACCCGCCTCTCATTCGTGGGGGCGCGGGTTCGATCCTGGCAAGTAACAATGTGATTTTTCCGACTTTCTGAGAGTATTTAGACACCACTGTCAGATGAAGGAAAACATCATGAGGAAACCTGGACTTATAATTTCACAATTATAAGTTTGAAATCACCAACCCGTCGTGAGCAAGCGTGGTGATTAATGCTCAAATCTTCTCCATGAGAGAAAGAGGCTTTTGCGCAGCAGTGGGCGCTGATAGGCTTATGACGACGATTTCAATTATATGTAAAATAACCAAAATATTTTATATTTTAAGTATTTTTTTGCAGAATCAAATGATTCCTGTGACAATATTATGTAAGTGGGTCGATTCACGAATATCATGGAGACAGGACCGTTAAGATCATTGAACTATACAAAATAAACACATTTACCATATATTTAACATTATATAAATGAATGAGAAATATTTTGCTGATCTACCTAATATATTGAAGGTCAAGTTGTTTCAATTACAAAAACAATTACGTTTATATTTTGAAGATATTCTTAAGAAAAATGAGAATTATTAGGGCTTAAAATTATAGCAAGAAATGAGGAAAAAACACACACACATACATACATATATATAATATTCGTTTCCTTTCCGGATTATACGAAGTGTTTGATATAATCTAATCAGAACTTATATGACAAACATATTTTCCTCATTAATGACATATCTACATATATATAATTGTTAATAAGACTAATTAAAGATAGATTTACGAATAAATAATCGTATTTTCACATCATTAGTACTTTAATTCAATATATGTTAAGATTATGATATATATTACGACATTAGACGCCACTTGGAACACAAATTAATGGTATGTTTATAACGTGGTTCTGTCTGTTTTAATGCTATATAAAAACTTCATATGTCTACGAGAAACACATATAATATACTTATTTATATGTATATAAATGTATTAATTATTTCCTCCAATAATGAAAACCCCATGTATTATTTTTATTTAT